GGTATACCTATTTTTAAAAATATTCATTACCCTTTATTAACGGATAGGCAAATGAAGGGAAAAAAAAATTTCTTGAAGTCCCTCACTCACTCACCTAGTACAATGATTTTGGGTTTTCATAAACACGCCCCCACAATACACACACTTGTCAATATGTACATATAGTTCTTAAAAACAAAAATAGGAACTTAACATTTTGTAACATGCTCTTACCTCAATATTGTAAAATCATCACGTCAACAAATGTATTTCAACATTATTTTTAATGGCTGCATATTTAACTGCATGGAATATTTGTTAAAAGTTATCTCAATATTGGAAATTCAGACTGTCTACAACTTTACTATTTTGCATAATACTTCAATGAACCTGTTTGTTGCTAAATTATTATATGTACCCTTAACTGTTTCCTTTAGATACATTTCAAGATGTGAAGTTGCTGAGTAAAAGGATATTTTTAAGGAAGTCTGATATGTACTGCTAAACTGCTATCAAGGTTGTGGGATCTATTGATTGTACGCAGTATATAAGGGCTTAATCTCATGCACTTGCCAGAACTAAATATTATCATCCTTTTCATCTTTTCTAATTTGATACTAAGAAAAAGTTCTTATGGTTTGGTCTGCAGAGGAAATAATTCCTAAAATAACTCAGTTGTCATTCTGGCGTAGAACATGCGATTTCCCTTTTTCTCTACTTCCACAGCATACCACAGCCAGTATGCTTCAAATGAAACGTCCAACCCACCTTCAGTCGGAAATGCCCTTACTCAGAACCTGCACAGTGTCACAGTCAACTTAAAGACCACTGGTGGCTACTCCAGGAATAAAAGTACATATTTCATAATATAAATGTCTTCTCTGTGGAGCCCATTTCTACACTTAAAACTAAACAGGAGTAAACTAGGAATTTAAAAGGATTTTTAATTGGAAATAGAAGAAAGTCACAATTCTACAACAAAACTTTGAAGATTACAAATGAGGAATTCTAACTTTAAAAAGCATGTACTTAATTATACTAATTACTAACAAGGCATGGTCTTACAAGCTCAGGATAAGTACATTCTTGTGACATTATTTTTATAAAGAACAAATATAACTGAACACCTACAACATGACAGTTGCTGAGGGGATATAAATAAGATTAAAAAGGTCTTCAAACTAAAGTAATTCCATAGTCTAATGAGGAACTGTATTACATAATAAATCCCGAATAAGTGCTAGCGAGGTATTCAAAGTTACTTGATACCATGAAATAAAACCTTTGCTGGAGTGGGGACCGGGAGGGCCTCCGATCGGGAGCAGGCTGGGCACGGCGCACGGAAAGATGAGGGCAGGTGCTGGCCCACTGCCACAGAGGGTGAGGGGCTGAAGTGAGGGAGAGGAAACAACACGTCAAAAACAAAGCAGCATCTGAGAACCCGGTGCGTTTAGGGAATCCACAGGTAGCATGTGGCTTTAGCAACGGATATGG